AGTATTCAGTTTTGCCAGCTGATAGAAATGTTCAGGAAACAATCAGGTATCGTTTTACAAAAATGTTGCATTAAAATTTTGACGGCAATTGTATTAATTCAATACAATTGATAGCAGCAGCAGGTAATGTTTTTTCTTTTAGTCCAAATTACCCTTCCGATAAGCAAGGGTATTGCAATCGGGTCCTAGACTTTTTTCCCGCAAATAACTTTGTTCATAGAATGGTCAAAGTTTGGAAATGGTAAATTAAGGTTCATTTTCACTACATTTAATGTGCTTTTCGTCTCCGGTACTCATGGTTTGGAGGTAAAGAATGCGACTGGGACGGCGAAGGTCTTAGGTTCGAATCTCTCATGACCTGTTTTTTCTCAAAAGGGAAATATTCCGTTTCAAAAAAAATTGTTAGCTTGTTATGTTTGTCGGCTTAGTTGCCACATCGTAGTATTTTTTTGCTGTTTGCAAGTTACATTAGTTGCTTTTAGTGTCTTGATTTTTTTGGCTGTTTGTTGTTTTACTAACTTTGACTTCGTACATTTTCGTTTTTTTTTTGCTTAAAAAATTCATCGTCCCAAATTGTTTTGGCCTATTTTTATTGGCTTAGTGACCTAATTTCGGGTCATTTCAAGAGAATTACAACTTGAACACTCTCCTCTGCCTTTTTCATGTCCGTTGGATGTTTACCAATCGGTTTGTTGAAATTTATTCTTTTTTTATTATGGAAAATTGTTTTCAAATTCATTGCAAACATTTGAAGTTTTTCTCAGAAACTTCTACTGATTTTCAAAAAGGGATATCAATTCAAAGACCGCCTACTTCCCTATGTGCCTGTATACCGCCTACTTCCCTGTTTGCCCTAGAGTATCGTTTTCTTGTCCTATCTGTCTACAGACTTCGAAAAAGTCTGTGGGGGAATATGTGACCCATATTTTTGATTTTTTTCGTTTTCTCGAAAAATACCTTTCTCAAATCTGAGTTTTTGGTTTCAATGAATAAAACGGTTTCGAAAAGCTCACTGCATTAGTGGCTAGGTCCAAAGTTTTTAGCCAAAGATATGGCCCTCGGAATAGTCAAATGTTTGATTTTCACCGTTTTTAAAGTTTTTTGAATATCCCGAGAACTACCCTGCCATGTGCGAGATTTTGGGTTCAATTCAATTTGCTTCTATTACTACCCACAAAGCTCATTTTCTCCTACGACGTCTCCCAATTTTTTTAAACGTTAAGGGTTATGACCCTAGAAAAATTCACAGTTTTTTTTTTCATTTTTTGACTGTTTTTTTTTTCAAAAGTTTGACATTTCTTGAACTACCCTCCCAAATCTGAGATACTGGGTTCAATCGAAATTACAGGCTGAGCGACTTCCTTCATCATTAGTGGCTGCGCCCTATTTTTCACACAAGAAGCTATAATTCTCGGAAATGTCAAATTGTTGATTAGTTGGACGTTTTTTGAGCTTTTCTCGCTAACTATCCTGCCAAATCTGATATCATAGATTTATCGAAACAGCAGTTTGTTGAAATGCCAGTTCAGTTTGTTTAAGAAATTTTTACGGTTTATAAATTATCGGCTTAGTGACCCATTTTTCAGTAGGTTCAATGAAGCAATTTTTATGCTCCCTTCTGGATCGCACAAAATGCTAAAAATTTTAATAGATTTTATAGTTTCTCATCGCAGAGTTTTTTTCTGCTTGGTTTTTTTTCTTTTCCTATTTTTCCGCTTGATAGGTTTCGGCCTGAAGAAAATTGGCCTAATGGCTTTATGTTTAAGGGTGAGTGGGCCTTATGAATTTTTTTATAAGTCTTAAGTTTTGTTTATTTTTTTTCGGCTTAAATGGTTTCTGCTAAGAAATTTTTGGGCTTTGTTACATTTTCGTAAATTTTCACACCGGAGTTCACCACTCCGATGCAAATTTCACATTCTGTTGTCTTGGCATGTTTTTATTTCAAAGCTAGCCTTTATCATTTTGATAGATCTAGTTTTTTCGACATTTTGGTTTTTTCCGACCTAGCGGCTTTCCTTGTTTTGTATTGCAAGTGATGCGAAGCTCATCTTCGCCTCTGTTTTATATATTTTCTTTTTGATTCAAAGACTAGCAACTCGAAAATTTTGATCCATTTCGGGAGTTGACTGAGGTTTGGCATGGTGAAATAAATTTATTGCTGACTTTTTATGCTTCTACATATTTTAAGTTTTAAAAACCATTCTTGAATCAAAGAGTAAAACTGACAATATAAGTGTTTCAGCCTTGCAATCAGAATTCTTCTTCGGAGCGCGGCTGTTACATTTCGGCTGGAGTTATAATAACTTCCGTGAATGGCTGTGCAATTATCGACCAAGATCCTAAAGACGTTCCTCCGAAGACTATTGTCATTGCAGTTAATGGGGTTTGCTTAGGGCTCATAAGTTGTCAGAGCTTCCACGACGAAGTGCGTAGAAAAGGTCACGTGAAATCATTGTCTCATTTCGTATTCTCACCACAGCGCAATGCAAACAGGTTTTCTAGCTGCCACTCATCAGCTACAAGTTTCAAAGTATTTGTTGCAGATGACATTCCGAATTTCACAAGTTCGGTCTCTATTACGAGCGTCGATTTATTTGAGGCTGTCAAAACAGAAGTTAACAAACGATCTACATCACTAACTCCTCAGGTACCGAAAACAATTCAAAGATAATTACCCTTGCAATAAGCAAGTGTATTGCAACCGGGTACAAGATTTTTACATCTTCCATAGATGAATTTGTTGACAGAATCTCCAATTTAAGTTGATTTTCAAATCTGTACATTCCTCAATCAACAGACATATTTTGAGTGTTTTTGCCTTTGAAATAAACAAAAATTTCGTAAGTTGTATAATCTTGGTGGTAAATTTACCAATTACTGTTTGTTGAAGTTTTATTTTTCCTCTTTTTCTTACTAGTAGGCTTCAATTGTTTCGGATTTTTTGATATCGGCTTTATGGCCTCATATTGCGTCGTCGCATGATCGTTTAATTTTCTTAAGTGTGTGTGTTTTCGAGGCAGGAGACTTCGAAGTTTTGTTTGAATCGAAATATTTTTTTTCGGCTCAAAAGGTGTCCGCTATAGTATTGTGGACTTTGTGCATGCGTCGTACAATTTTGTGGCGATGCTTCTATAACATCAAATTACCCTACTTGACATGAATTATCCTACTAGGAAAATTATCCTACTTGACACTTGAACTTAATTCGTAGCAAATTGTGACAAACATGTAAATTATGGTAGATATTTTTTTTGATAGTTATTTCATTCCTTTAATGCCCACAAATTTATGTTGCTATATTTGTATTCTATCACAAAAGGGGCCTAATGGCTTTATTCTATCATTTGTATTCTATCACAATTCAATTAAATTTAGAATTCATCTTTTCCGCTCCTCTGTCAGATAGGTCCTTTTTTGCAGTCTATCGCTCAAGTTCTCGTCCTCGATCTTTCTCTCGATTTCAAACTGGCCTTGTCGAAACTTTTCGAAATCCGCCCCCCTCGAGAAAATCCTAGATCCGCCCTGTATGTCAGAACAACATTATCAGAACAACTGCAAAATATCCAGACGAAAAGCTACAAACATTTGCGTCGCAAAAATCTCCGCCTTGAAATTGCATTGATAGTTTTGTCCGCTCATGGGATTTAGCACTTGGTGGCCACGTCTCATCAACAGTAAAAATTTGAAAGAAAAGAACCAGAGAAATTTTGTCGAGGACACAAAAATTAGGGACACAGATGTCTATGGACCATGCCAAGGTCATTAATTTTGATCAATTTTTGTTGTTGCTTTAACTAGACATACGTTTTTTTTCTGAAAAAAAGCTAGGAAACAATTTTTGTACGCGAATGCGATGTTTTACATTTGAATTGAGACCATCTGATTATTTCAAGTTTTGTATGTAATTGCCTGTATGGATAGAATTTTAAAACAGGCACCTTTTTAAAACAGAGAATATCCCTGGCAATACAGATTGCGAACGCCGCTTGCGTACTCGGAACAATAAATGACAAAATAACTTTCGACGAAATTTTTTACTTGTAACATTTGTATATTATATTATCTCGTGTCGAGTTGCGTGTTCTTATTGAAGAAACGTAACCCGTATCGATTTTAATTGAAAAGGACCTAAACACTTGTCATCTTCTTTTATCATTATCACTTCCATATCTAAAAAATTCCAAGGATTTTGACTGGAATACACGATGAAGGGACTCATGACATGACTGTAACCTCGGTTACTATGATACTTTTGACCTTCTGATTACCTTACTTAAAAAAAAGAAAAAAAAAGATTATTTGCAATATGTCGATCTAAAAGTTTTGGTGGAATTCCCAATAAACTTTGTCCAATATAGACCTAAAAAGGGATATTTGAGAGTTAAAACGTAAATTTGCTTTTAATTTTGTCCACTAGTGTAGATGTTCAGTAAAATATTGATGAATTTTTTCTACTGGTCAAACAATCTCTTTCGAAAACCTTTAAACGCTCTTTTAACAATTTGATTGTTCAAACAATAAGAAGCAGATAATTTTAATTTACAATCTGTTCAACACAATAAAACCAAATTAAAGCCTTGAAAAAATAATAAAACTCGATCTGAATTTCCAATTTAATTTAAATAAGTATTTCTTGTTGATGCTTATAGCCAATTGTTCTTGTAGGGTGTGCAAGTTGTTTCATTGCAAGATTTAGGCAAAGTATTTGTGTATATATAGGAACTCTTGAATCTAGAATTTTTCACCGTTTTTTTTCGATTTATTGGTTATGATTTATTTCGATTTATTGGTTACGAGCGTTTCGATTTATTGGTTATGAGAAAAATGAATGGAGCTTCTTTAGACCGAATCTATTTTTTGTTTAGGCTATTATTTATATATCAATCGCATTTAAAAAAATTTGAAATTTTGGTAGCCCACGATATGTGTTTCGATTTTTTTATGCCAAGTTTTGGTCTATCGTAAAAGTTAACTAAATTGTTTCGACTGATTTCAGTTTTTCAGATATATGAGGCCAGATATATTGTTGGGCAATGAATGACGGTTGCTTGGCGTATCAATCAGAAGCCAAATGTTCAGCCAGCAATCCTGGTTCTAAATCGAACACCGTGATTGGATTACCCGATTTTCCCGAAAGAAAGACCATTTTTAAAGAGAAAAGGTTGATTCGGAGTCGAAAGGATGGACAAAAGCTTGAGTTCCTAATTTTGTTGCACATGGAATATGATTGTCGATCTGGCGAAGGAAATGACATTTTCAACCAGCTGCTCTTGGAGTTTACGTCAGAATTATGGAATAGAATGGAAAATGTTGGCGATTTTGATGCCCTTAGGCAGGATGAACACGGCACAAACAACCCTTTCGAAGCTGCAATCATCAAAGCAAAAGAAACCATTTTTCATGTAAATTCTACGTCGCAATGAATATAGTAGCAATAGTATTCAGTTTTGCCAGCTGATAGAAATGTTCAGGAAACAATCAGGTATCGTTTTACAAAAATGTTGCATTAAAATTTTGACGGCAATTGTATTAATTCAATACAATTGATAGCAGCAGCAGGTAATGTTTTTTCTTTTAGTCCAAATTACCCTTCCGATAAGCAAGGGTATTGCAATCGGGTCCTAGACTTTTTTCCCGCAAATAACTTTGTTCATAGAATGGTCAAAGTTTGGAAATGGTAAATTAAGGTTCATTTTCACTACATTTAATGTGCTTTTCGTCTCCGGTACTCATGGTTTGGAGGTAAAGAATGCTACTGGGACGGCGAAGGTCTTAGGTTCGAATCTCTCATGACCTGTTTTTTCTCAAAAGGGAAATATTCCGTTTCAAAAAAAATTGTTAGCTTGTTATGTTTGTCGGCTTAGTTGCCACATCGTAGTATTTTTTTGCTGTTTGCAAGTTACATTAGTTGCTTTTAGTGTCTTGATTTTTTTGGCTGTTTGTTGTTTTACTAACTTTGACTTCGTACATTTTCGTTTTTTTTTGCTTAAAAAATTCATCGTCCCAAATTGTTTTGGCCTATTTTTATTGGCTTAGTGACCTAATTTCGGGTCATTTCAAGAGAATTACAACTTGAACACTCTCCTCTGCCTTTTTCATGTCCGTTGGATGTTAACCAATCGGTTTGTTGAAATTTATTCTTTTTTTATTATGGAAAATTGTTTTCAAATTCATTGCAAACATTTGAAGTTTTTCTCAGAAACTTCTACTGATTTTCAAAAAGGGATATCAATTCAAAGACCGCCTACTTCCCTGTGTGCTTGTATACCGCCTACTTCCCTGTTTGCCCTAGAGTATCGTTTTCTTGTCCTATCTGTCTACAGACTTCGAAAAAGTCTGTGGGGGAATATGTGACCCATATTTTTGATTTTTTTCGTTTTCTCGAAAAATACCTTTCTCAAATCTGAGTTTTTGGTTTCAATGAATAAAACGGTTTCGAAAAGCTCACTGCATTAGTGGCTAGGCCCAAAGTTTTTAGCCAAAGATATGGCCCTCGGAATAGTCAAATGTTTGATTTTCACCGTTTTTAAAGTTTTTTGAATATCCCGAGAACTACCCTGCCATGTGCGAGATTTTGGGTTCAATTCAATTTGCTTCCATTACTACCCACAAAGCTCATTTTCTCCTACGACGTCTCCCAATTTTTTTAAACGTTAAGGGTTATGACCCTAGAAAAATTCACAGTTTTTTTTTTTTTCATTTTTTGACTGTTTTTTTTTTTTCAAAAGTTTGACATTTCTTGAACTACCCTCCCAAATCTGAGATACTGGGTTCAATCGAAATTACAGGCTGAGCGACTTCCTTCATCATTAGTGGCTGCGCCCTATTTTTCACACAAGAAGCTATAATTCTCGGAAATGTCAAATTGTTGATTAGTTGGACGTTTTTTGAGCTTTTCTCGCTAACTATCCTGCCAAATCTGATATCATAGATTTATCGAAACAGCAGTTTGTTGAAATGCCAGTTCAGTTTGTTTAAGAAATTTTTACGGTTTATAAATTATCGGCTTAGTGACCCATTTTTCAGTAGGTTCAATGAAGCAATTTTTATGCTCCCTTCTGGATCGCACAAAATGCTAAAAATTTTAATAGATTTTATAGTTTCTCATCGCAGAGTTTTTTTCTGCTTGGTTTTTTTTCTTTTCCTATTTTTCCGCTTGATAGGTTTCGGCCTGAAGAAAATTGGCCTAATGGCTTTATGTTTAAGGGTGAGTGGGCCTTATGAATTTTTTTATAAGTCTTAAGTTTTGTTTATTTTTTTTCGGCTTAAATGGTTTCTGCTAAGAAATTTTTGGGCTTTGTTACATTTTCGTAAATTTTCACACCGGAGTTCACCACTCCGATGCAAATTTCACATTCTGTTGTCTTGGCATGTTTTTATTTCAAAGCTAGCCTTTATCATTTTGATAGATCTAGTTTTTTCGACATTTTGGTTTTTTCCGACCTAGCGGCTTTCCTTGTTTTGTATTGCAAGTGATGCGAAGCTCATCTTCGCCTCTGTTTTATATATTTTCTTTTTGATTCAAAGACTAGCAACTCGAAAATTTTGATCCATTTCGGGAGTTGACTGAGGTTTGGCATGGTGAAATAAATTTATTGCTGACTTTTTATGCTTCTACATATTTTAAGTTTTAAAAACCATTCTTGAATCAAAGAGTAAAACTGACAATGTAAGTGTTTCAGCCTTGCAATCAGAATTCTTCTTCGGAGCGCGGCTGTTACATTTCGGCTGGAGTTATAATAACTTCCGTGAATGGCTGTGCAATTATCGACCAAGATCCTAAAGACGTTCCTCCGAAGACTATTGTCATTGCAGTTAATGGGGTTTGCTTAGGGCTCATAAGTTGTCAGAGCTTCCACGACGAAGTGCGTAGAAAAGGTCACGTGAAATCATTGTCTCATTTCGTATTCTCACCACAGCGCAATGCAAACAGGTTTTCTAGCTGCCACTCATCAGCTACAAGTTTCAAAGTATTTGTTGCAGATGACATTCCGAATTTCACAAGTTCGGTCTCTATTACGAGCGTCGATTTATTTGAGGCTGTCAAAACAGAAGTTAACAAACGATCTGCATCACTAACTCCTCAGGTACCGAAAACAATTCAAAGATAATTACCCTTGCAATAAGCAAGTGTATTGCAACCGGGTACAAGATTTTTACATCTTCCATAGATGAATTTGTTGACAGAATCTCCAATTTAAGTTGATTTTCAAATCTGTACATTCCTCAATCAACAGACATATTTTGAGTGTTTTTGCCTTTGAAATAAACAAAAATTTCGTAAGTTGTATAATCTTGGTGGTAAATTTACCAATTACTGTTTGTTGAAGTTTTATTTTTCCTCTTTTTCTTACTAGTAGGCTTCAATTGTTTCGGATTTTTTGATATCGGCTTTATGGCCTCATATTGCGTCGTCGCATGATCGTTTAATTTTCTTAAGTGTGTGTGTTTTCGAGGCAGGAGACTTCGAAGTTTTGTTTGAATCGAAATATTTTTTTTCGGCTCAAAAGGTGTCCGCTATAGTATTGTGGACTTTGTGCATGCGTCGTACAATTTTGTGGCGATGCTTCTATAACATCAAATTGCCCTACTTGACATGAATTATCCTACTAGGAAAATTATCCTACTTGACACTTGAACTTAATTCGTAGCAAATTGTGACAAACATGTAAATTATGGTAGATATTTTTTTTGATAGTTATTTCATTCCTTTAATGCCCACAAATTTATGTTGCTATATTTGTATTCTATCACAAAAGGGGCGAAGCTTTGCTTCGCCTCTGTGTCAAAATGGTACAATGAAAATTTTTTTAGGCCGCAATTCAGATAAAAAAAAGATATTTAATTTAAATTATCTCAGTGATGCTTCAAGTTTGAACTAACTTTTTTGAAGATAAATATTTTTTCAGATTTAAACTTGTTTTTTTTTGGTGTTTTTGATTTTCGGGTTGTTTTGTCGCCTCCTGGTAAGGAGTGAACAGCTTAGTAAGGTTAGTCAATTGGATTGGTCTATCGCGGAAATATCGATGGATGCAGCGAGAGAACTGCGAATGAGCGCGTCATTGAATACTTTGGTTTCGAGTATGTATCGTAAAGATTATTTTTGAAACTGGCTTTCAATTTTTTAAAAAAATTGTTTCGGTCAGTGTTGTCATTAAAAGGGTTAAAATCACTGCTCTCAGGAACTATTTGGAAGTAAAAGGATAATTTCAAAAAAATGGGTGGAAAGTGGATGATGCTGTTGCACAGAAAGTAGTTTGAATTCAGTGTGTGGGCACAGAAAGTAGTTTGCATTCAGTCCGAGAGCAGTGATTTTAACCAACACTGACCAAAGCCACAATAATAATCTTTACGATTCACGTAACCAATGTATTCAATGACGAGCTCATTTGCAAAGTTCATTCGCTGCATCCATTGTTATTTCCTCGACTGAAAAACTGTCCCTCACCCAACTAGGAGCTCGTTAACGCAGCTCAAATCCGGTAACTCTTCCATTCTTTGGAAAGACGCTGATATTCCCCGTTCAGAAAATTGGAACTCAACGACTTTAAGTTTCAAAACAAGGTTTTTGTTTTTAGTTTTCACTGCAGAATAAAAAATCAATTGATTCAGTTTTCTCAAATTGGGCTTGCTTAATTGAAAAAGAGTCAATCATAAAGTGTTCATGAAGTTCGAAAAGTGAAGTTTCTTCGCCTGAAATTTTTAAAAACCGCTGAAAAGTCAGGCAAAGTCCGTGCTGCAGTAACTAAATCCACAAAAACAAAATTCCGGTCAGCAAAAAGTGTAGGTCTAACACGGCATCGAGTCTCAGGCCTTTTCACTTCAAGCATGGGGGTAACTTCTGCTCAGAATGGACAGAACCAGTCATTGCATTTATATTGCTGAATATTATACACAATTAAGCTGAAACACTTAACCTTCTCAGATGTGACTTTAGTCACGAAAAAAAATTTGGCTCAAAATTTTGTTATTTGGTTGCAATGATATTGCCGGTAGCAAGTGTGAAAGAGAAATGAATAGGTATTTTTTCTCCGCGTGAACTGTAAAAAGTTTGAAAAGTTATTGGGACTAAGACAAAAGCTAAAGCAACGGCGTGCTTCACTCAAATGCTTCTCTCAGAAATGACATTGAAAAAGAAGGTTCAATAAATTTCAACATTGAAATCAATCACCAAAAGGGAGTACGAAGAACTTTTTGTAGTATTATCAGACAAAATTTTACCGATGGTTCCTGCGATTGAGCTATTTTTTTGGTACAGAATTTTTGAATAGCTGACGATCGTATGTAAAAATTAATGATTTTTTTTTCACATAAGTCGTGATCTTTAAAGAGTCGATGAACGTAGTTCAGTCTTTTATAAAGGTCGTGGTTTTTTCAGGAAAAGTCTCCACGTTTGTTCAGGATCAAATTTAGTTTTTCGCGGTTTGACTTTTGATTTCTTTTTAAGTCCAGTTCATTTCCTTTGTTAAAAGGAAGGCAAACTCCACTATCGCATAGCAAAATTGTAAGGGTGACGAAAAACGTGAATGGTCTCATGTTCTGACTTCTCAGAGGAAAAAAAAGAAATTATATATATTGCCCCAGTTTTCTCTTTCGATAACCAAAAGAAAAAGTGCCAATCGTAATCAATTCGAGTTTTTCACAAAAAAAACCAACTAACGTCATATTTGCTCTTCGAAAGTTGAGAAGTGTTTTGTTTTTCGGTATTGTTGTTCTATTACTTTTTCCCACCTGTCTGTTGCCCATCTTAAATCTCTTAAATGGAAAGCAATTCTTAAGTGTATCGTAATTTATGTTCAGTTTTTAAGTTTGTTTCAAATATGTCTTCGTTTAATTTTCGTCTTTTTCCCTCTGTGTAACTTGACTCTGAAAGTTGTGGCTTAAGTGTCATTGAACAAAGTGATGACACTTGTTTCTGGGCTACGCTTGCATAGCCTGGGCCCATGTTGCTAACATTATTTCTTTGAGTAAGCTACATATAGTGCAATATGCAGCTCTTCCGATAGTGACTGATTCTCATTTACCTCCTATTTTCATAGTTCAATTTACTTACTCTTAAAACTCACCATAAACTGATCGCATCTGAATTCGTTCATGCATATTACGTATCCATGAGCTCCCTAAATTTTAAAGCACTAGCCAGTCGTCATCCCAAAAATTATTTAGTATTTTGACATTTACAAAAAGGAGCTCCAACATTTTTGAAGAAAAAGTTTTGAAGCAAAAGTGTGAATGTTTTTAACCCACTAAGTCTATTTGTAAACCAGAATATGTAAAAGCTTCTACATCACATTCACACCGCTTGAGTTCCAAAAGCCAGAGATGAAATCAGTCACTAAGCAGTCTTGTACTTTTCCAGCTCAACCAAACACAACCAAGTCAAATTAAGATCAAGTCTCAGTCCCTACGTTAAAACTTATATAAATAGAATAGTCCCGAACGCCTCTTATTGCCATGCTCACCTTGCAATGCTGCTTTTTCAAATTTTCCCCTAAACTGAATGTTTGAAACGCTAAAAGACCTGTGGCTCCGGCCGACGAGGGAAATGTCGTTCCTTAGAGTCAGCCAAGAATTCCGAAGCGTTCCAAATATAGGATAGTAACTAAAATGTAAATGGAGCGACACAATTGAATAACTTTACGTTACAAAAGTGGGTTTAATGAGATATTCTTGTAATTGAATCAGCTTTAACGTGATCCACTAAGTGAGAAATGTTTAAAATCGTTCACAATTGTTTTTTGGTGTCCTTGATTTATTGACATTGTTTCAACTGTCAAATTAAAGTTTTTTTTGGCTATTTGGAGTTTTTAATAATAGTAAATGTCAGTAAAAGTAACTTAAGCTTAGTGTTTTTTCGCTCAAAATCAATTGTCTCAAAGAATACTCGCAGTTTGCCTAGTGTGATTTCCATCAAAGCACTATCGGTCTCAGTCAGGAGTCAGATTCTGTACCAAAAATATTCCCTGTCAAGAAAACCTGGACTAAATTTTCTTCTATTCGAGATCTTCAGTTAGAGAACATAGTTTGATATGGATAAGAATGAAAATCCGAGTTTATTTGGTTTTGAATAACTACCTTATTTCAGTGGTCGAAATGTTTGCATGGTCACAGGGCACCCTACTTTCGGTCACATGCTTTTTTCTTTACAAATATATTGAAAATAGTTTGCTATTAATTTTGTTTTGCTCAAGTCGAAATCCTTTGCTAAAAAGAAGGCTAATTACGGCTTGAATAACGAAAGTGATTTTTGAATTTATGGTTACCCAGCTGATTAAAAAATCCTTTTTCTCAGGGGTTAATACTTTAAAAAAGTTAAAATCATCGAAGCTTCTTGTAATTTAAAGAGCTTCAACCTCATGTTTTTTTTCTCCAAAATTAGGGAATTGAAATTTCTTTGCAAGTGTCTGTTGGCTATTTTTGTTAAGTTCATGTGCATCTTTAAAACAGTTGTTAAAAGCAGTGTTCAATGATTCATTGGATTAAGTCTCAAATGACATATTTCCCAAATAGCATTAAAATGAAAAATTTCCCAAATGGCATAAGTTTCATGCAACAGTTGCATTAGTAAATCTACAAAAAATTTTGCCGTAAACAATGTGAAAAATTTCGCCTAGCTAGTAATTCAAATGTTGATTGCAATTTTATCCTGAAAAAATTGTGGAATTTGTTTGTCAAAAGCGAAATCCATAAGCTTGTTGTTAATAATAATCTTCTTGTGGTCAATTTTTCCGACAAAAATGTCGCTTAACATTTGTTCGGAAGCAAATAATCCAATTTTTTTCACATGTTTGTTCCTCGACTAAACATTAGAATTAGAAATTGATAGAAAACGTTTGAATTGCAATGAAAACTTGAAATTTATTCCATTTGGGAAAAGTTTCCTGTTTAGGCCATTTGGGAAGTTACCGACAAAACATTAGAATTAGAAATTGATAGAAAAAGTTTGAATTATAATGAAAAACTGAAATTTATGCCATATGGCATACGTTTCATTTTTATGCCATTTGGGAATTGTACCATATGGGAAATTATCATCCGTTGTACTCTTGTGTTTGAACAAAAAAACGTGAAATAGTCTACGTGTTAAATGACTTGTTTTTTTTCTTAAATTGTATTTCTACATCAAGCAAACTATTTTTTCTATATCGCAATGAAATGCGACAAAATGCTTTGACTCAAGTATTGATACCACTAATTTCGTTGCCAATGTTTATACTTATGAAAGCAAGTGTTTTGTAATGGGCAACTAGAATTTTTTCCTAGTTGTAAGAGGTAGTGAATTATGTGGGGGTGACTTCACAGAAGTGTTTTCAGCATGCCTGCTTTTGATGTGTCTTTCCTTTCTGGGAAGAACTGATCGTTTTAAATTGTCATCTTCAGTTTTTCTTAACTGTTTTGATTAAGACAAATGTTTTATTTCTAGTTCTGCATTTCGATACCTCAAAACAAAATAAAATGATCATCATGTGTTTTTTTTAAATCTGTGTTTATTTTACATGTAATAATTTCGCTATCCATTCTAGCGAATTGTCATTTAGTCTTTGGTTTCGTGTTTTGTTTTTAAGGGTCGATGTCTGTATTGAGGATTCTTATATAGATGGTGAATATTTCTTTTCGAGGGGAAAATCTTAAAATTTGTTCGCGTTCAAATTTGATTTTTCGTGGTTTGATTTTTGATTCAAACTTTTGTTCAGTTCATTTTCTTTGTTAAAAGGAAGGTAAACTCCACTTTCGACAGCAAAAGTGTAAAGGTCGCGAAAAACGTAGTCGGTTTCTAGTTTCGAAAGTGAAATCTAATTTTCACATTTCCCAGCGAAATAAAAATTTAGTTATTGATCGACAGCCCAAGATAATTTTTTCTAGAAATTCAAAGAGCTTTAAGGGCATCTATTATTTTCTTTGAAATTTGAAATGGCTATGTTTTGTTTAAATCTGTCTGGTGGATTTTTCATCATTCTCTGTGGTTTGCTTGCTCGTTCTACGCAATTGTTTACATTAGAACCCAAACATTGATTGGAATCAGACTGAATGCTTGTATATATTTTTTCAAATATATAATTTTTGCTTTGGTGAAAAAATTTGCTACTGTTTTTACTTTTGCCATTTCTACTCTTCGTTTCTAATCTTCATTTCGAGTTTGCTCACCCACTTCGCTATGTCAAAATTTTTTGCAGAATTCCTTACCAGTTTATGGTGATCTTTCCTGTGAATCGCTGATTGAGAAATTCTTTTTCGCCTCTATATCATATTTAATGCGTGATTTTCTTGGATCAATGAGTAAAATTCAAATTAACGAATGATTCATAAAAGAGGGTAGTTCAAGAGTTCTCATAATAACTGCCATTCAAATTGAGTATTTCAAAATTTGCGAGAACAGGAGGAAATTGAGTCAAATTTTTGAAAACTGAACGGCTTGGCATAGGTTGAAAATTCATGTCATTGGGATCTTTCATGACGCCTGAAAGAATCACATTTTTCAAAAAATCTTAATACTGGTTATTCATGTTTTAGACTCCTGGCAGTGATAGCAGCTCTATCAGCCAACTAACTCCATTGACCCCGGAAAATGCTGAGTTCAACAGGATGCAATTCAATTCTTTCTCGAGGTCAAGCAATCAGAAAAAGTTGGCTAACAATGAACTCGCTTCGCATTTCGTTGACGAGTATCTAAACCCATATCTTGCTACAAAGTACTCGCTACATGCTGCACTGATTTCAGCCCTAAATAAACTGCAACCTATCGGTCTAACCGACCCAATGGATGCCAATAATAAACAGCCACTGTATATAATGACCAGGAATTTCAATCAGAACGTTCGCTACAGAAGAACAGTTGATGCCAATTCGGTGTTAAAATCGACGAGGTTACAAAATCTGTATCGAAAAACTTCAACAGACGATTTATTCAAAACTGCCGGACCAAAAAGAAAGTATGACGTTTTTGGCCGAAAATACGGACACACAAGTAAAAATTCAAATGATGCAGGTTTCAAAAACGTTATAGATTTCAGAATGTCAGATTATAGTTTTCGAAGGAGAACTTCTGAGTTATCAGGAGTGGATATCAATGGAAACGAGAGCTCAATATGCAGCTCTGAACCGCCGCTCATGACTGGCGATGCCTTGGCGGACTCTCCGAGTAACGCCGCGGGTCCTCATGTAACTTCAAGTGGATTCAATTTCACAACTTTTAAATAACTTTTGTAAATCAAAGCATTGCAGAAATTGTTCATAAGTATTTCAGCTCTTTTTGATGCATTTCATAAATGCAGAAAGATAGCTTCGTTGCTATGTTTAACAGTCGTTGAACGTAGTGAAGATTCTTTTACTATTCGTGATGATTTTGTTGTTTTCATTTCGAGTTTTTTTTATTTAAGAATGTTGCGTTTAGTTTTTTTATTCAGTGATACTTTGGCTATTTCCCATTAAAGATCTCCAACATTTATAGACCCCAAAAGTACGTAAATTACTTTTTTCCCGGGCTATATATTTTTTTGTTACTTGGCTGGGGTTTATAATGCGAAAGAGCCGATAGTTAAAATGCACGTAGTGTTTTAGCGCAATCACGTGAATGAAATAAAAGAAATATATTACAGAAATCTGTTGTCATGCAAGAAAAAGAGCTGAAAAATTTATCTTCTGAACAATAGCTGCTCTGAAACTTCTCTCAGTTTTAATGCATTAAATTAATTATTTTACTGATTATTAGAACTACTTGTAGATTTTTAAAAATAAACTAGAAAATAGAACAGTTTATATTAGAAAACAGTCGTTTTGTCATTCAAATATTTAGAACTGGTGATTTCCATTAGAGCTATAATACAAAAGTCTGCCAAAAATACACTTGTGCATTTAGAACCATCTCACAAGACCAAGTTGCAAAATAACCTTGAATTCTCTAACTTCATTTGTGTACCTTTTGCGCAGCTATCTCTTAGTTTTTTTTTTTGATAATTTGTTTTGACTGACAGTTTCACTTAGTTTCTAAAACCTTGCAAAAAATGTGGTCGCTTAGATCAACACCATGGACGGAAGCATTCTTGAAAATTTTTTACTCATCTAACCACAAAAATCCACTCGCGCGAAAGTGTTGCTTTCGTGGATTCACTCGGACTTCATTTGAACCCTTCTTCACAGCCAAATGTTCTTAAATTTAAAGTCCAGTAAATATTACGCTTGCTAATCGCAAGCGTTATCAGTCTGGAATATAGACTTTTTTCGAGTTAACAACGTAATTAACAGAATCACATGTATCTTGATTCATAATGTATTCAAATCTCTGCGTTCCCGGTCAATTTAGGCTGGTAGTAACGAATATGCTTGGGACGGCAAAGGTCCTTAGTTCGAATCTGAGCAAGACCTGTTTCTTTTTCAAAAGAGAATTAATTTGTTTCAAATATAATTGTCGGACATTTATTTGTCTGCTTATCTGTTGTCGGCTTAGTTTTCAATTCTTGGATTGTTTTTTTTTACCTTGGCTTCTTATTTTCTTTTTTGTTTGGGCCTCATTTTGGGCCATTTCTAGAGAAACACAACTTTAACACTACCCTCCGCTTTTTTCATCTTGGTGGTATGTTAACCAATCGATTGAAAATTTTTTCTTTATGGAAAATTAATTTCAGATTTATTGGAAAAATTTTAGTTTATCTAAGAAACTTAAACTGATTTCAAAAGAGGTGAATCAATTGAAAGACGCCTATTCCCTTGTCTTTCTGTATACTCTCCTAGAATCTCTTTTTAATTGACCCCTCTGTCTACAACCTTCGAAAAAGTCTGTGGGGAATATTTGACCAAAATTTTTGATTTTTTATCGTTTTCTCGTTAAGTAACCCTCTCAAATATGAGTTTTGTTTTCAAAGAATAGAACGGTTTTGAAAAGACTCGTGCATAAGCAGCTACGCCCATTTTTTTTAAAACAAATTTATCGCACTCGGATTTGTCAAGTTTTTGATTTTTGACCGTTTTGTGAATCTTTTTGACTTTTCTCGAAAACTAGCCTCGCAAATCTGATTGTGGGTTCAATGGAGATAACGGGTAGTGGGAAGCTCCCCTACATTAGCGGCCACTCACAAAGTGTTTTTGCACAAAAATGTTTTCCTCGAAGAAGTCTTTTTTTATTTTGGACCGTTTTTTTAAAAAAAACTTTTTGAATATTCTCGAAATCTACCCTGCCGTATCTGAGATTTTAGGTTCAATTCAAAGAACGGGTTGTGGGAAGCTCATTTTCTTTTGCGAATAGTCCCAATTTTTTCCGACATCAAAAGTTTTGGCCCTCGATTTTTTTTAAAAAGTTTTTGACATTTCTCGAGAACTACCCTCCCAAATCTGAGATTCTGGTTTCAATAGAAATTACAGGTTGAGTTAATCCCTCCTGCATAAGCGGCTGCACCATATTTTTACACAAAAAACAATGATTCGCGGAAATGTCAAATTTTTAATTTGTTGAAATGTCAAATTTTGGATTTGCTCGCTAACTATCCTACCAAATCTGATATCATAGGTTTAATCGAAACAACAGATTGTTGAAAGCCTATCTTTTTTACTGGCTATGTATAGTTATTTTAAGAAAAAAAAGTTATGGCCTTCAAACAAGTCGAAGTTTCGAAACCTTGACAATCTTTGGGAAACTATTTGACTTTACGCGAAAACTACCGTGCCAATTCTCAGGTTGTTTTCAATCGAAAAACCCAGTTTTGGGAATCTTCTCTGCTTAAGCGGCGGGAACCTGCTTTTTGCAGAAAATTGTTATGGATTTTTGAAATCCTTTTGACCGTTATTTAGAAAGTCTTTGAATTTTCTTAAAATTTACACAATCAAATCTGAGATGAAAAGTTCAATTGAAAAATTGGTTGTGATAATATTTCCTGCAGAAGCGACAATTCCTTACTTTTTGTAAGGGAAATCTTATCTCCTTGGGAAAATTGATTATCTCAAAATTTTCTACTCTTCTGACTTACTTAAATGCTTGTTTTATGTTTGCTGTATCGCAGGTGGTGCGAAGGTCCGCTTCGCCTCTTTGCGCTCAATTTTTCAGCCTAAAATTGTTCAAAAGAGTTAGCTCGTGAAATTATTACACCTGCTTCAACTTTAGCAAGAGTTATCAAATCAGAATGTAGACCTTTTCGGTTTAACAACTTGTTTAACAAAATCAGTTGAATCACTATGCAGCTGACATGCTCAATTTCGTTTAAAAAAAATTTGAAGACTGGGTGTGCACTTGTTACTAAGGGTAGTGTCAGGGGGACTTGAAATTTTTTAACGCTTTAATATTTTAAAAAATTTCGGCTCAACTGTTGTCTGTTGCTCCAAGATTGTCGACCTTGTTTCCGCTTCTTAAGTTTTGGTCAGTTGCTAATTTGAATTTAAAATGTTATGCTTGGCATGTTTACTTTGTATTCCTGTTTGATAAAAACAGGTATTAAGAAAGTGTATGGGATTGGGTTTTTTACTAAATTTTTTTTTGAGACGCTTTGGAAAATTTTATCACTTTTTGCAAAAATATTTTGTTTCTCAAAAGCCCTCCAACCGATTTTCAAAAGAAAGGGTATACATAGAAAGACCGCCCTTATTCTTGTGTGCCTCCCCTGGTCTCTTTTGCTTTACCCCTTTGTCTACAGCCTTCGAAGAAATCTGGGGAAAATTTTGACTGATTTTTTAGTTTTTTATCTCGTTTTCTCAAAAACTTATATTTGTTATCTGAGATTTTGATTTCAATGAATAGAAAAAATTTGAAAAGAGCACCTCCATAAGCGGCTACGCCCAAACGTTTTCTACACAAAAAAATAATGGTCCTCGGAATGACTTTTTTTTTAACCGTTTTTCGAATTTTCTAAGACTTTCTCGAAAACTAGCCTCTTAAACCTGAGGTTGTGCGTTCAATGGAGTTAACGGGAAATGGGAAGCTTTACCTGAATTAGAAGCTAATCACATTTTGTTTACACAAGAATTAATCGACCTCGGAAAAGCTCCATTTATTGAGCGTTTTTTTAAAATTTTATAAATTTAACCGAAAAATTTAACTTTCATTATCTAAGATGTTGGGTTCAATTTTAAAAAACGGATTGTAGGAAGCTTCTTTTGATTACGCGGTTGCGCCGAAATTTTTTTTCACAAAAAGTAATGCCCTCGGAAAAGTCAAATTTTTGATTTTTGACTGTTTTTAAACTTTTCTCGAGAACCTGGGTTTTCGGGTTCAAACCTGGATTTTTTGGGTTCAATCAAAAAAACCGTTGAATCTTTTTTGAAAAAGCGTCTACTATTTTTTCTCAAATTGAATAGCTGTGATTCTCGGAAATGCCAATTTTCTGATTTGTTGACCGTTTTTTGGACTTCTCTCGATAACTAACCTGCCAAATCTGATGTCATAAGTTTAATCTAAACAACAGGTTGTTGGAAGCTTGCTTTTAGAATTCGCTATGCCCAGGTTTTTTAAGAAAAAGTCATGGCCTTCAAACAAGTGAAAGTTTTGAAACTTCAGCCGTTTTTTGGAAGTTTTTCTTACTCTGCTCGATAATTACCGTTCCATTTCTACGTTTGAGTTTTCAATCGATAAACCCGATATTAGATATCTTCTCAACTTTTTGCGGACTACAACCTGTTTTCAGCAGAAACAAGTTGCGGATTTCGGAAAGTCGAGTTTTTGAATTTTGACCGTTTTTAGAAACATTTTGAATTTTTAAAAACTACCCATTCAAATCTTAGACGAAAATTTAAGATTTGCAGTTGCGCGAATTTTTCCTGCAGAAGCAGCTACTCTTTTAGTTTTGTGTAAGAGAAAGGTTTTCATTTTTTTTCGACTTATGCTTTTTTTTATTTGTGTTGTATTGTAAGTGGTGCAAGCTCCGCTTCGATTCTATGTTGATCAATTAGAACTCAATTAACGATTCAGCTCATCTGGTGTAGGGGTAACAAACATGCTTGAGACGACGAAGGCTTCAAGTTGTAATGCTGTTGGGACCTGTGTTTTTTGCAAGCTGGAAGTTTTCAGCTGTTCTAGACATTCGTATGTCTGTTTATTTTTTGTACGTTTAGCTCCAGTAGGTTTAGTTCCCGTAGCATGCATTTTTTACTATGGGGTAGGGGTGGATTGAGTCTCAATAAGTTTGGAAAAGTTTGTCGACTTTTTTTAATCAACCAAATTGATTTTGGCTCAGAACTCTTAAAAAAACTTCTTTTTGACAATTTTCAAAAAGTACGTCAAATTGCCATTTTGTTGCACTTTTCGGATATGTTTGACCAAATTGGGTTTTTTTCGGCGCGCGCTGAATTAGAATATATTGGCACCAAAGGGATCCGAAAATAGATGTCATAAATCATAAAATAATGGCAAAG